TGACGGGACGGACCGTTTTTGTGTTTTTGTGTTTTGGAGATGAGTGTGGTTCACTCTCATCCTCATTCCTCCACTGACACCGTCTCCTGCGCGCGTGGGTCGCACACCTGTGTCGATCAGAGAGCAGAAGGTTTGAGACAGATCGATAACAGCGGTGACAGGAGAGTTTTGTTGATGGTGAATTTTCCTCACACACACACACAGGATGAGAGAGTGAAGGAGAAACTCTCTGGACTTCACCGGTTGGACTGAACAGACTTCTGTGGTTTCGGTGGACACTTCACCTGACGATGGATCAGGTGAGTCCTGTGATATCTTCAAATCCTCCTCAGAGTCAGATTACAACTTATATCAGCACTGTAGATGTCATGGTTATGATATTTGGTGTTTGGTGTTGTATAGGTGTGAGCTTTTTGTCATGATTTCAACTGTCGCTTCATATGAATCATAAGTGACCTGAGGCTGAGTTTGTCATTAATCATACAACAGTAATCTGACTGTTGAAATCCTGTGACTGAGGCCGATCAGGTCGGTCGACTTTATGAAGCCAGACTTCACCTTGTTGTTGCTGTTAAACTGATTCACTCCCTGTTTAATAAGTGACACCGGCTGATGATGTCCTGCCTGTCCCAACTCGTATTGTGTCCTCCTGTCCCCAGGAGAGCACAATGGACTTTAGGGCTCTGAGGGCCAAGTTCCAGGACGAGGACCTCCTCCTGAAGCAGCCCAGGATCAAACCTGCCCTCCCGGAGAAACCAAAGGTCGTCCCTCCCCCTCAGAGCCCCACTCATTACCTGCCTGCAGGAGCACGCCCCTCCCTGCTCACCTCCATCAACAGCAGCTTGGAAGGAAAAACAATGATGGCCCCCAGAGTGATCTTCAAGGACGAGAAGAAGGAGAGCAAAAAGCCTCTGATCCAGATCAGCTCCAGGGAGAAGGAGAAGAGCGAGGGGAAGCTGAAGGTGAGTAAAGACAAGACGAAGGGAAACAAAGAGAAGCTGGAAGACGAGGCGTCGGGTCAGAAGAGGAAGAAAGAGAACGGTAAAGGCACGGCAGAGCTGGTGCCGGCCACGCCTCCACCTAAAGCCGCAACACCAAAGAAGAAGAGTTTCCTCACTTTCAAGAGGTCTTTAAAGAAAGAGGTCCCAGCAGACCCCATCCTGGACACCCCCAGCTCACACGTCCCCGGACTAGCTCCACTGATCCCAGTACCCTCTGACTTTGGTGACACAGCACCACAACCTCAAATCCCTGCACCAAAGGCCCTGATGCCAAACATCCCAGTCATACCTGACTCCAGGCCCGCTGTGGAGATCCCCCCACCCTCCATCATCCCCGCCTTTCCCGACTTCACCCCCCCTCCTGCCTTTATTCCTGATAACCCAGCTGCTAAAGTCCCGACCCCAGAGAGTGAAACCCCGCTGGAGACAGAAACTCCCGCCCTGTCCGTCTCCAGACCTGCCAGCCAAAATGAAATCACTCCCAGTCCACCCAGCGTCGCCCCGACCCCCCCACCCAGTCATTCTGTCTCTACTCCTCCTCCGGTGGCCTCCGCCCCTGAGCCCGAGGCCGAGGCCGTGATTGTAGCTGCAGCGGAGAAGCCTCCTCCTCCTCGGGTCACAGACCCTCCATCCGTCCCGCCGTCGCCCAAACCTGAGCGTCCCATCTCTGCGCTCTCGGCTCTGGAGAGGGCGGAGGACATGAGCCCGGGGAAGCGGCCCTCCTCGGCGGACCAGAGGATCCTCAACGCTCTGGAGAAGGCTCGCAGGAAGACGGCCAGGTGAGCAACACACGCTGCAGGACGTGTTTATTCAAGTTTAACCTGCTGTTGAACGCTGATATCTGACATTGTCTCATCTGTTCTCAGCCCCACCGCCTCTTACTCCATCACCCCTCCACCTGAAGAGCTCCCCCCTCCTCACAGCCCCACCCACTCTTTCCCGGAGCTCCCACCCATTGATTATGAAGATCGGGCAGGAAACTCCCGCTCAGCGAAACCAGAGCAAGTCAACGGCATCGACCACGGTGAGTCCAGAATGTCTCAGCGTGAGCTGCCCAGGTGTGTCAGAGATACAGAACATCTGGAATGTATAGTATGGTTTATGACACAGAGTTACCACAGGAACGTTGAAGACACACACACACACACACACACACACTCACACACACACTCACACACACTCACACACACTCACACACACTCACACACAATGAAAACATTCCTCCTCTGTGCAGCAGGCAGGGCAGAGCTGCTCAGGTATGTCAGCAATGACAGGTGCATGTCCGTCGTGAAGACAGAGCTGCAGAGACAGACACTTTAATGTCTGTTACACTGATATATTGACTTGATTTACTCTGGCTTTAGTGATTGTGCACGCAGGTGTTTGTGCAGGTGTCAGTGTTTAGCAACCTGTTGCTTACAAAGCTGCACAAACACGAGGTGAAGTATTTAAGCGGAGGGTTTAATTATCTAAGTGAATAATTCAAAGAATTCTATAACATCCTGGTTTTTAAAGACCGGTTGTTGAACACGTGAAAGTTTCTAGGTCAGTTCCATTTCAAATGACGCTTGACGAAATATAATTTGTAGTGTAATTAGGAAAAGTGTGTTTTACCTTTAAGGTAAAAGAAGAGACAGAAACGCAGAAACAGAGGGACATATTTTTAAAGGGAGGACGTCTGTCCTTTTCTTCTTCCAGCTGTCCTGATTTCTCACCTTTAATTGCATTATCTCCACTCTGCCGAGTTCAGTCACAACAACCTCTTCGACTGGTTTGGTTTCCAGATTCTTTGCCTGTGCTGGCTCTGTCTCTGTGTCTGAACGCTTCCTCCAGCTGGAGTCTGTCGCTGTTTTTAATGTTCAGTTTTCTGCTGAAACGAGGACGAACACAAGAGCTCAGTGTGACCTGGATGTGAAGTATCTGACAGACGTGTATCAAGACTGAGCTACTGTAATTCTTTGCAGGACAAGCTTCTCCGGTGTTGGGCGGCATCACTGAGGAGGGGTCTGATGTTTTCCCAGAGCTGTTGGTGGTTCCCCCTCCTCCTCCCAAAAAGGTCCTCCCAGACCGCAAGTCTCTGGGTCCTCCCCCACCGAAGCCTACAAGACCTCTGTCCGTCAACCTGAGTGACTTCAGCCCTCCTGCTGTGGAAGATGACGGTGTGAACACGACACCATCCCACCATCACACCCACGCGTTGTGAAACCAAACCTGAGCCGTCCACTCACAGTCCTCCTCGTGTTGTCTCTCCCTTCACTTGCAGAGATCCTTGCTCCTCCTGACCTCTCAGAGACGGACACCACAGACCTCCCAGAGTTTGACGATGTGGCTTCAGATGCTCCGGAGCTGCAGGTGTCAGAGTGGGGGAACGAGGAGTACGCTGGTTCAGATACTCCAGTTGGACGGAACCTTTCATTGATCCACAGCAATGGGATAGCTGCTGCGGGAGCTGAGCTCCAGGCCGCACCAGGACTTGGAGACGAATACCAAGATCATCTACCACCAGAATCCTCTTTCCCTGTCTCTCAAGAGTCTCCATCAGTGGCCGGGTAAGACACGTGAATTTAACCTTTGTCTCTTTGCTTCGACATACTTGTTCATCTCTGAGAACTTTTACTCCTCTGCCCCGATCAGGCCTGAAGCCGGAGTTAGCAACGGCATCTATGAGAGCACAGAAAATGTCTACGAGGACATTTCCATGTCTGCCTCCAAAAAGAAAGTAAAGACTGACGGCGGCAAGAAACGCAAAGGACCACCAAAGAGTAAGAACTCTTTCTGGATGAACACATCACATCCAGACATTTATATCAATAAGATCAATAATAATCAAAATAATCATGTTGATATTCACGGTATCTGACTGAGTGACAACGTGTGACATTAAACTAAAGCCTGCGTTTCACAAATCCTTCCCACAGAAATATGAATTAGTGTTTGCATCCTGTCATGACTTTAGTATAATTCTATAAAGCTCCATGTTTCTTCTTCTTCTGTGTTTTATTTGAAGTGTTGATCCATCAGAAAATATAAAAACCATCTCAGTGTAGTTTTACATCTCCTCTCTCAGGCTTCTCTCTGGAGCTCTAGTAACAACAGGTCTGTGAGCCAATCAGAAGAGAGGAGGCTCTGAGCCTCTCTTCTGATTGGCTGACTGTTTTCTGAGTGATCCAATAAAAATAAAGCAGATTTCAGGTAAAAACACTCAGAGAAACCAAATCCTGCAAGGTTTGGATGGTGGGTCCAGGTGGGCGGGGCTTGGTGACTGCTTTGTTGTGACATCACAAAGTTCCAGAAGTCCTGACGGCTGGTTTTAAGGCTCAGTTTCTGAATACAGGCTGTGTGCATTTCTCTGTGGACTGAGGCTTTGATACTTTCACAGTATTAATATAGAAGCTAGAGCTGATCTATAATCACACTACACATGGACACAGACCTTTACACTGGAGGAGCTTTAACATATGATTAAATGGCAGTATTACTCTCACACACAGATCTCATCATGACTCTATCGTCTGACTTGTATCTACCATGTTTCTTCATGATGTCAGCTTCTCTTTTATTCTAATTTTTTATTTACCTAACTGTGTGTTCACCACAGATCCGTATGCTGAGGCAGCACAGGAGGCAGTAAGTAGCTTTCTCACTTCTCTTATCTGTCAGAGATTGGAATGATTTCATGCAAAAGGAATCAAAGCTTATCTCTTTGTGTTTACAGAACGAAGAGAAGAGCAGGGCAGGCAGGTTCAGCAGGTAAGGGCTTATTTGCTGACCCACTTCTCAGTTACCCCACAGACACTGAGTGAAGTCTGGCCTTGTCTTTGTTTTCCTCATGCGCTCTGTTTTCTTCTGCAGGATCGACAAGAAAGCCGCCACAGAGGGGCCGGACGAGAAAGAGCTGAAGAAGAAGGAGAAGCAGCGCTTGGAGAAGGAGAAGAAGGAGCTGAAGGAGAAACAGGAGCGGGAAAAGAAAGAGCAGAAAGAGAGGGAGAAGAAGGAGAACGAGATGAAGAAGAAATACAAAGTGAGTGAAGTTGTTCTGAGCGAGAAGGGAGGAAGGGAGGAAGGGAGGAAGGAAGGAAGGAAGGAAGGGAGGAAGGAAGGAAGGGAGGAAGGGAGGAAGGGAGGAAGGGAGGAAGGGAGGTGTGGAGAGGGAGTGAGCGGTGGGGGAGGGTGGGGTATCTGTCTGGCCATACAAACCTGTCTGGATTCATTCCTCCCCATGGAAGAGTTGAGCTGAGCAACATGTGCAGGCTCCAGTGGAATCTGTGTCATTAGCAGTGATATGTGGCGCACTAGTACCAGAACCATCAGAACCATCAGAACCATCAGACCCATCAGAACCATCAGAACCATCAGAACCATCAGAACCATCAGACCCATCGGAACCATCGGAACCATCGGACCCATCGGACCCATCGGAACCATCAGAACCATCAGACCCCTCAGACCCATCAGAACCATCAGACCCATCAGAACCATCAGAACCATCAGACCCATCAGAACCATCAGAACCATCAGAACCATCAGACCCATCAGAACCATCAGACCCATCAGAACCATCAGAACCATCAGAACCTACTGGTCCAGCTGATGTAGAAAAGCCAGACTCGTGTCTCAGAAAGAATAAGGGAGTTTTCACACCTGCCCCTTTTCAGTCCAGTGAAACCGTGCAGGTGTGAAAACAGTGATCACTCAGGTGCGACCAAAACCGTCTCGCCGAGACCCTTTAGAAGAGGTGGTGTCGGTCCGTTTGACCTTCTTCCTGTGTTTACCTCCCTGCTCCAGACAATCTGACCAATCAGAGCAGAGCACGTTCTCACCTGGTTTGTCATGATGCATTGTGGTCCACTTCAGTTTTTCTCTGTGTGAAAACAAACAGAACCTTCGACTTTACAAACACGTCGGTCCGTGTGACTTTAAGCTGTGACTCTTGTGTGTTCAGATCACGGGGCAGGAGGACGCCATGTACCAGGCCAAAGTAACCGTGACAACAAAAGGGCGCAAGAACGATCTGCCCGTGAAGAGCGGCGACATCGTCAGCATCATCCGAACAACCAACTGCCCGAGAGGGAAGTGGCTGGCCCGGGACGGCGGCAACAACTGTGAGTTCTCTCAGCAGCTGTGTTCGGCTCCAGCGTCGAGGCTCGTGTTCATGCTCGTGTGTTGATGCTGCTGTTTGAATCCTGAGCCGAGATAAAGACACAGAAAGCTTGTTGTGTACTTTAATCCCTGAGCGTGGATCCCTGCAGTGACTGTGCGCGTGTGTTTTCCAGACGGGTATGTCGCCGTGGATCACGTGGAGCTGGACATCAAGGAGATGTTGGAGCTGGGGAAGAAGGCGGCAATCAACCGCAAGAGCAGCAGCAGCAACGTTATCGACGGAGAGCTCCCCAGGACAGGGAGCAGGTACGTGTGCTCCTCCTCCTCCTCCTCCTCCTCCTCCTCCTCACTCGTCCGTCATTACACTGTGGAGTTTTCAGGATGATTTATAGCTGCTTATGTCTCTGTTTCCTCAGGGAGTCGAATCACTACCCTCTGTCAGCAGGAAGCTGTAAGTATCCTCTCCTCTCACTCGCAGCGTGTTTGTAACGTGTTCAGCAGCAGTTTGACGTTGATGTTGACGTGTGCAGTCACAGATGACAGTGAAGAGTGGACCGGTGATGATGATGAAGCTCTCTCTCCTGCCCGTGACGTTGCAGATCCGCTGGCTCCGCTGTAAGTCAGACTTCTTCAGTTTCACATAGACACCTACAGATCCACAGTCAGTGTTTTTGTTTTTCTGTCTTGACACTTGTGCCTGGTGTTGTCCACGTGTTTTCCTCTGCAGGGGCCACACCAGGACGCTGTCCATGCCGGACATGGGTAAGAAACAAACCTTTTCTTCAGTAAACTGCGCTGAGCTAATGTTCATCTAAGCATGACGTCTATTCTCACTGCTCATCACCCGACTCTCTGCCGTTATCGTCAGATTATTGTCAGAGAATTGTCAGTAAGTTGTGTAACACCTGTGTTATCTTGATGCAGCTGTGCAGGTACAACAACAAGACATGAGTTTTTACAGCAGATATACGTCGATGGTTGTTTCATACAAGAATCCACAGTATCCATCTTCCCCTCTGTGATTCTGAGCCTTTGAGTCAATAGCATCACGCAGATCTGCAGGAGTTATGCTGTAGATAATACGGCTACACTGCAAACAGGAAGTGCTAACAGCTAATTCAATACACTTTTAATGGTGCCAAACAGTGACTTACTGACCCCATGGTGACATCATACTTCCTGTGTCCAACCACAGCGCAGTAATCACACCATGTTCACAGCTGCTGAGTCTGGAGTAATTAACTCGTTATTCTCATCGGACTTTTATTTATTCTCTCAGGAAACAAAGATCTGAGTATAAACCACCAGCACAGTCACAGTGACATCAGTGCCGACGGCTCCCATGTGCAGTGAGTTCACCTGTTGCTCTCTGATGCTCAGTCACACACACACACACACACACACACACACACACACACACACACACACACACACACACACACACACACGCAGAGTGATATATGGGATATGTGCGTTTGTTTTTCCATCAGAGCAAAACATGAAGCACTTCAGAAGTTGGCGACGTTTTTCCACTCACCTTTACCTGTGGCGCCGGATCCCTCCCTTTTTAACAGTGTCACTGAACTGGAGACAAGTAAGTGATACTGGAGAAAGTCATTATTTAATTATGTCTGAATAATGTTGTGTAAGATGATTATTCACTTTATGAAATGTTGTTACTGTGATTCTTAAACCTTACACACTGTTCTGGTCACGTGACGTTTAACAGCAGTAAAAATATCTTAAATGTCTTTTAGCCTGAAGTTTGACTTTTCCTAAAGTGACCCAAAATACAACAAAATGTTTAAAATATTTTAAAATATTATCCTTTTGTACAGGAGCTGTGAATGTCTGAGCCGTATCTATTGAAGTGGATTGTAGATCCACAGATATTAGATCTGTGCGTCAGATGAAGGAACATGGAGGTTTTAGGGGATCTTGAAACTGTGGAACTGTACATGCCCTGTCTGTGTGTATTTGTTATGGGACAGTGGTGACAGAGTTCAAGGGGGACCTCGACACTGTCACCAGATCTGCAGAAACATGAACAGTGTGTGAGGGTTAATAGCATTTAGCTCAATCACTGAAAAATCCATTTATCCATCATCTCATTTATAAAGAAAACCTTTCATTGTTCCAGGTCCTGTGCCGGCGGAGGCAGAAGCAGTTCACCTGTAAGTAGACACAGACACAAACAAAGAAAAATGTTGAACATGTTGTGCAACCTGTGGACAGGCAGGTTTCTTAGTCCTTGTTGTCTGGAGTGAAGAGAGAGTTTTCTTCTGTTTGTTGGAGAGAGAGAGAGAAATCTGCTGCTCTGCTACCAGGAAGCTAAGCTGGAGGAGGATTCTCAGTAACGTGCTTTAACCTTTATGATGGTGTCATGTTCATGGTCACAAGGAGTCGCTCTGCTCTGTCACAGCTGGGGCAGTACAGAACATGGCAGCACCTGCAAACTGCTCACCAGGCGCTGGAGGAAAGGATGAGTTATCTTCCTGATCTGTTTCCACAGGCCGGAGCCGAGCGAGACGCAGGACCTGGATAATGATCATCCCAATCTGCTCATCTTGCCCCCCCCTGACCTGTACGCTGACCTGACCACAGAGTAACTGACAGAAAAACAAGGTGAGGAAGATTCACCTGGACTCTTCATCACGCCTCCGTCACTGTGCATCATCACATGTTGACGCTGTGTTTGTTTTTCTGTTTGTCACAGCACAACAAGCAGTATCAAGTCACCTAAGACTGACCGCACCTTCACCCCCCCCCACCCCCCCACCCTGCCGAAGGCCACGCCCGCACCGAAGCCCTAAGACTACCACCTGATTTACCTGCTGACTCGTTCATGGATCAGTACGATGACTCACCAGAGGAACAAGAAGTGGGGATTGTTTTAACAAGGACATCTTTCAGCAACCGGAAATCTTTCTGTGCAGTTCCTGTTCTTTCAGGCGCTCAGTGTGTGTGCAGTCTGACTGGAGGTGGACTGCTGATCCCACAAACCCTCACACACACACACATGCACGCACGCACGCACACACACGCACACACACACGCACAGGTGTTATCTGAGTATTAGTGACCCTGGAGGATCTTATAGGGAAGATTAAACACCTTTCATGTGCAAATACCAGAAAGCAGAATCTATATAAAGTGGTAGAAATCAGAGGAAGACAAAGGCAAATGTAGATTTTTCTCAGACTTGTGTAATTTTCATGTCAAACTCCTGCAGTGAAAAGCAGGTGGAACTTGTTGACTTATCATGTCCAGTAACCAGCAGTCCTTCTTCCACCATGCCGCTCCTCAGGACCAGTTCAGGGTCAGTCCAAAGAACTCAACAGGTTAGCCGTGTGTGAGTTTTTATCTGGGCCTACATGCAGCAGTGTGAAGGGCTGGATCAGACCAGTGTCCTATCTACATATTACCAGTTGACAGTGTTGGTAGCAAAGGAGTAAAAAGCAATACTGACATTAACTCACAAAGATTTAATTGTTTTTTTCTCAGGTTATTATTTTTCTGTCAGATTTGCTCAAATTCCCTTGAGATAGAAAAATAAAACTCGGCCCAGTGACTGGAAATCACTCGCACCTGCTTCCCAAGAAATATGAGCTGAATTGTCCAGATGGTGGCGCTGTAATTAAGGACTTAAAATAAAGTTTTGGCAAGGCCACGCCCCTCACACTGTTTGGCTGATGGGCTTGAAATTTGACCACAGGTCCATCTCAATGTGCTCGACAAAAAAAACACTATGAAATTTGGTATAAAAACTAAAAATACAGATTTCTTTTATAGATGAGCAACATCAGTAGAAAAACATGGCCGCCGCCATCAACAAAAATATCTTAGCAAAAGGCGGGGCTTAATCAATATCGGCCATAACTCATCAACCCTTAGTCCAATCATCATAAACCTTGGTAGACACCTTCAGGCCGTGATAGACAACAGGTCTACCAAAGCATGCTGAGCTTGACCCGTAGGGGGCGCCACAAATACCACCAATGTGTACTTCATATAATTAAGGGTCAGACAGACAGAGGCCACCATGATGGTGGGTTGCAGCTTCTTCTTCTTCTCTGTTGAATTGCCGCTCGTGGCTGAAATATTTGTTTTAGGTTTTGTCATCAGCAATAATTAAACCCCACAAGTGATATGATCTGTTTTCATTCATGCCCTGCTGTGTCCCCTCTGTTTTTAACCCCACCTTCAAAATTTAACTCTAAGTGTTTGATATTGTTGTTTAGTTTTGTTTTTTTTTGTACGTTTTTCTACTTTGTAATTTACTCTATTTACTCTCATTATTTTATGAACACATATCATGGAATATGGAAAAGCTTGTGCAACTACTCGTGTATTTAAAGGCTGACCTTTAAACATAGTAGGTAAATATAATAACTGTCTGTAACCTCAAATATACGACTAAAGAATCTGCAGGTACCAGCTGGTACGTCTTTCTTCTAGTTGCACCTTCTGGAGGGAAACATCGTCTGTAACTTTTATTTCCTTTTTATGCAGCTGATGTCTGGCTGGTGTCACTTTTATGTGCCTCTTATTTTTTTCTTTCCCTGGAGCTAATGAATAATAAGTATTACAGAGAGATGAGGAAGTAAAGTAGTGACGATCACCTGAGGTCATGTTCGTGTTCATGTGAAATATTGCTGACATCTACAGGTGCATTTTTGTCTGGAACAACACAAAAATAATCCCCTGTGATGAGTGTGTGTGTGTGTGTGTGTGTGTGTGTGTGTGTGTGTGTGTGTGTGTGTGTGTGTAAAATGTCCAGATTGAAAAGACCTCAGGACAAAAACTATTTCCTTTTTATATGTTTGTTTATTGTTTTTCAATAAATACTCATTAAAGTGCAAATCATAACAGCAACATCATGCAGTGCATAACAAGAGAAACCAAACCCCGATCAGACAGAGAGACAGGGAGAGACAGAAACACACACTCTCTCACACACACACACACGCACACACACACACACGCACACACACACACACACACACACACACTCAGGGGTATTTAAGGTTACACTGATCATAAGAACCCCCCCACCACAGATAAACAGAGTAAAACACTCACTTTGGTACAACACAGAGTGTGTGTGTTCGATCAGGCCGTGGCGTGTGTTTCCAGCTCCGAACACTAGAGTCGAGTTTACTTGACTAACATGCCACCGGTTGTTGCATACAGTTGTAATGGTACAGTACGACATCTGACAGTAAAGTAATGGTTCAATCAGAGGAGGTCTTCACTCCCGCCCATGACCTCTCCAGGATAGTGCACTTCATTGATCAGTATTTAGTATTGTTGTCACGAGCAGCAGCGTCAGGAATGAATGCATGAATGGGCCAAAGGTGATGTGAAGAAAGCAGCTCACTGTACAAGTTATTAAGACACAGCAACAGAGAGGAACACAGACGTCTGACAGAGGAACATGGGCTAGTGTTTGTAAAGGTGTGTGTGTTTGTGCAGTTGCATGTGTCTTGCAGCAGGGAGCAGAGTTTCTCCCTCTGACATCCGACACACAGGATACAGAAACAGAGACGTGTCATAAAGGGTTTCAGCACGGTCACTAACATCGTGGCTTCCAGAAAAGACTTTCACACCGTGTCTCATAAGGCAAAAATCAAAAACATCTTATCATTGTAGGTCCAACACAGTCCTCAGTCAACGTGCTGGATGAATAGTCGCAGTAGAGACTGTTGTGTGGCTGATATTAACGCGGCCTGGATGTAATAATAAATAAAAGACATGAAATAAATAACCATGAATGAATACAACAAACATTTGTTCTGTATTTTCTCAAGTTTCTGCATCCTCACCCTCCAGCCAATCACACGCCCCCATCACAGTGAGCTGAGGTTAAACAAGTTCTTCATATACAGTATTTTACTGTATTTATTCATATTAGTATTTACTTCTTAATGTCTTTCTTACAGTATTTGTTGATTCATAGACGCCAGTCTAAAGTAGATGACGTCCTCCGTCCTGTGTGTCCGACAGAAGCGCAGAAAGGCCAGAGCTCGCCATCAACACACACAGACGGAGGAGGACTCATCTGAGCGGCAGCAGCTTCCACTTCACATTCACTCAGAAAGTCTGGATGAAAATATCCAGCTACGACACACAACACACACAACACACACAACACACACAACACACACAACGCCGCCGTGGTGTGAGTGACGGGACAAAGAGGAACACTTAGAAAAGCAGTAACGGCGTGGCGTTCATCAACGTGCACAACCACAAATGACAGTAAAGTGTGTGCATCCACAAAAAGTGTGTGACGCAATAAACAGTAAATCTGCAAACTGTGAGTTTTAAAGTGCAGACTGAACAGACAACAGCTACACACACACACACACACACACACACCAAAGCATCATGTTCTGAGTCTCATCGCCTTGTTCTTTTGATTTGAACTCTGCTGATCTCCTCGTAACACCAGTTACACACATGGCAATCGCCTGACACACTCCACCTATCTGACCTCGGCTACACACACACACACACACACACACACACACACACACACACACACACACACACACACACACACACACTCACACACTCTCTCTGTTTACAGGTACATATGCACAGAATCACTGTGTGGCATTCTTTAAGGCAACTGGAGAAATGTTTCTGTGGCTCATCGTGTCCCACAGCAGATACACACCATCTCACAGGGATCTGTCGTCTTCATCTTCTCCTCCTCATCATCACTTGACGAGTCTCAGTTTGTTCATTACTGCTGATTCAATTAGTGGCTATTGTGGAAGCTGATTATTGAAGTGATTTATCACCCATATTTACTTGCTTTTTGCTCTTTTAAATTAAAATATGTGAGGATCTTTTTATTACATTAGACGTTTGTTCACATTTTAAAGGCTCGGAGCTGAAAGGAGAGAGATGAAGGACGGCTGTCGTCTTGGTTACAAGCAGCTCCTGTCTTCAGTTTACTGCGTATGTGAATGACTGGGTGCCATGTCTGTCCTCCTCATGTCACAGGCCGTCCTGCTTTTTTAATTACATTCTGCAGCTGCATGGCTGAGCAGCGCGTTAACACTCGCTCAGCTCGTCATTCGTCAAGGACTCAGGTGTACAGGAGTCTGTGTGTGTTGCATATTTGTGACGGTTACTGAATGCATATGAGATAAACAGTAGTGATATGTCAAGTCGGGGGAGATGGTGTGTGTCTGCCTCAAACACCAGACACCACAGAGAGTTTTACCACTCGACTATCCTGCTGGCTCTCTGGGCTCATTAATCATCTACAATCTACTCAAAGTCGGGATAAAACTTCATGTTGATCAGCTTAAATAATAAAACTACAGTGTCTAAAAAACAATCTCTAAAAATAAATATGGATCTGATATCTGAATAATAATAATAGTCTCCTTTTGATGTATAAAGTCTAATATTTGGTATCCCTATAATAAACATGGATAACAAAAGCTGCTTCTTTACAAACTATATCATAGAAAACCTGAAATTAAACTTTACATGTGGTTTCGTTCCCGCAGACACAGATTTAACGTCAAGTTTAACAACCCGTGCCTCGTCATCAAATATTAAACAAGAAGCAAAACTGACCTCCGATCAGTGTCTGGGGCAAATCAGCAGGACGTCCCGCCATTAAGAGCTGTGGTGGGTGATGATATTTCAGCAGTTGATAATAATTGAAGGTATTTGTGGGAGGAGAGACGGCTGCAAACTGTGACCTCTCGCCTCTGACTCTGCCGGCATCCACTAGTTCACAGATTCCAGTCCCAGGATCGGCTGTGGGCCGATGTTTAACACCGAGGCTCTGACCCCAGGACTGTGTCACACCAAGAAAACAAAAGCTATTAATCTGCCATTCTGCCAAAGGCCTCCTCTTTCTCCCTCCTCCGTCTGAGGGGAGCACGACGCAGCCATCGCTCTCCACCCCGCCCGTCCAACACGACCGGACCGGACATGGAGAGGAGACAGAAAGAGGAAGTCGCTCCAAACACAGACACCCTCCCTACAGGAGGCGTCAGGCGTCAGCGCGCGAGCGTGGTGATCAGACTGGCGCACATTTCAAAGAAGTCCATGGTGTGCGATCCCTGGCGTGGGGTGAGTAGAGGGTTGCTGCCGGACAGGGATCCCGGGAGGGAGGAGCTGAGCTGGGGCAGGTCGAAGGCCGGGCTCGCAGAGTCGATGCTCAGTCTGGGTCTGTGGAGACCGGCTGTGGAGCCCGACCGCTGAGGAGTGGACGACCCAGATTTAAAGCCCACTGCCTCGATGATGTCGTCTGGGGGTGGTGGAGGAAAAACAACAGCCTTCAACGTTAGTTATGTTTCATAAAGTTCATACAGTCACTTCTTCATGGTGTTAGAATCACAGAATGACTTTTGATTGATTCACCCTTATTCAAAAACATGATTTATGATTTATTACAAAAACAATGTTGAAGTTACTGTGAAGTTTATAGAAATATAAACATTTTAAACTTCACTTTAATGTTATCTTCAGTCCGTATGTATCTGTATCTCTGTGAGACAGCTGTGTTTTGAGCTAAATGCTAATCTCTTGACGTTTCCCACCAGCTCCAAGAAGCCCCAACCAGAGGCTGGAAAACGACAGTATCCCTGGTAGTTGGACGCAGAAGATTTAGAAGATCTAGTTTCATCTTCCATAGACTCTGGCACCGTGCTCCAGATGGCTCCTGCCCGACTCAGGCAGAGGGTTCAGGCTAAGGCGTGAGTTTTCCACCAGTGGGAGGTAACCGCAGACTCATCACACCACCGCAGTCCTAGCAGTAGTGTTTATCTATACCACTCATCCTCTGAAGGTCACAGGGGGGCTGGAGCCAATCCCAGCTGCTTCACCCTGGACATGTCGCCACCACATGCACACCTACGGGTAATTTAGAGTCGCCAATTAACCTGACCTGCAAGTCTTTTGACTGTGGGAGGGGGCTAAATTAGCCTAGCTGGAGGCGGCCTATGAGTGATTCATCCTTCCAAGAAAACTCATCCTCACGTTGTTTTATGAAATGTCCATTTCCGGTGCAGCGCCGCACGTATGGAGTCTATATTCAGATGATGTCATGCAGCAGAATCACTCACCGTCGATGCTCTTGAAGTCGAGGAGGTAGGACCTGCTGTCCACCTGGTACAGCTGCAGGCTCATCTTCACCAGGTTGCCCGTCACCGGATTCTTCCTCCGCACTCGCAGGTGATACGGGTTCACCACCTGCAACGCCCGACAGCAGAGGGTCGTTCTGTTGTTGCTGTTATGTATGGAGACGTGTATATGTGTGTGTGTGTGTGTGTGTGTGTCTTACCTTCCAGTCAAAGCTGAGTTGTTTCATTGCCCTGTACACTTCAGCCATGATATCATAGGGTCTGCTCTGACTCCGGATGCCAAGGTGCCACTTGGCCTTCTTCACTGCCAGAGGTTTGGGCCGGGTGGTGTTAAGAGCATCCAGAGGACAACGAGACTTGGGGCTGTCAGCCAGGAGCGGAGGCATCCTCTCCGGGTGGGGCTTGACTCCGGGGGGCAGCGGCATGCCTTCTTCTATGAAGGAGCCCTGGGGAGGACTGGAGGCCAAGTAGAACTCGCTGGCCTGGGTCATGATGCGCCGGTTGTCTATGATGAGGTGATAGGCCACGGCCAGCTGATCCTGGCGGGACGGAAGGAGGATGGAGAGTCTCGTGAAGCTGAGGACAGCCCGGACAGTCTAACGGAGGTCTGACCCACACATTACTGCTTATTTTCTATTCTCCAGTCTTGGCACTGACAGAGAAGCTTGATGACGGCAGAGGTTTGTTTGAATACACACAAGAGCAGGGCGGCCATGGCAGCATGACTAACGACAGCCACAACACAGACTGATGAAGGTCAGCACTACAAACGTACTTCACCAACAAACTGATAAAATAATGTTTTAAAGGAGAAGTTCAGCATTTCTAGTGTCTGTCTTAATACTGATGAACCCTCATGTCACATGTCTCAGGTCTGTCCCCGAACATATCTCCCAACATGTAGACAGATATTTTTGTACTGCGTTTGTAACACATGCTAATAAACTGTTTCCAGATACAAAACCTGCTCACAGCTGCAGAGACAGTATCCTTCCACTGTAGCTCCACAGGGAACTACTGTCCAGGGAAACCAAAATGTGTCTTAAATAGATTCTAACTTTGAAAAATACCGACTCGATTTAGCTCGGAGGGACTGCTGAAGTTTCACACGAGCCTCAGATGAACTTTAAAGTGTTTTTAAAGCATTTTCTCCCCCATTTCTTACAGTGGATTCACGTCCCAGGTGAAAGGCTTCAGCCACCAAGACTCTCAACTCCATATTGTCACATGATCATTGTTTCAAGAAGGACCTGAAAAATGCTGAACTGATCTTTCGACACTGTTCGACTGTGATGATGTGCAGGAATATATTTGAAAACCTACACAGTGCGGGTACAGTGCAGAGTACTGTACCTGTGGATCTCCGCTGTAAAGGCTGGACATAACCTCAGACTCCATACATTCAAACTTCTCACACACTTCTCTGACGGCCTCCTCATCCAGGACTGTGGCATCGTACGAAGGGTCTTCAGGGAACAGGTATCCCGGCAGGTCCTGCTTGAACCACTCATGTTCCCTGACGGAGGACAGGGTCAGAGGTCAACGCAAAAAACAACTGCTGTAAAGTCATCAGGCTTCGCTTTGAACCCAAACCTTTAAATGACGGTTTTATTCACTGGAAAATATCACAGTATGTGACATTTAAACTTGCATGGAGTCAAACTGTTGTCAAACACAGAAGTCTATTTGTGTAGCAACACTCGGGAGGCGGGACTGCTCCAGTTCCAGAGCCAACACCGAGACCAAGAGAAACCACTGAACACGCTTCACATCGCCAAGTCAGTCACCTCAGTTTGATTTATTTTGAAAAGGTTCATGTGATGTCAGGAGAGTGAAACGCTGTGGACGGACACAGCAGTAAAAATATATCTGTGTTCTAACCCTAAAAAAACGATATCATTTGAAGTGTAAGTTATATTTTGAATATGTTCACTGCTTCATCTCGCTATTACACTGCAGACCAGCTGAGTCATTAAGGGCTGATAAATCAGTGAAAATAATCAGAATAAAACTTAAATTGATTTTCTTTCTGGTGGGCATTTCCTCAGTTTCCTGCTCATCACTCAGCTTCGGCGCCGACCTGAATCTACTGCAGGTAATACATTGACTAATACAAGTACCTCATACAAGCCCACAAGAAATGAGCCACTTTAAAGCCACTTGACTGGACAGAGTGGGGTGAGCACCTGATGTCTTTGATGGTGGCTCTCTTCAGAGGATCGACCTGGAGCATGAGCATGAGCAGCGAGGCCACGGAGCGGGTCAGGTACTCGGGGATGTAGAAGACGCCTCCTCTGATCTTCTTAAACAGCGTGGGGACGTGCTCGTCGTCAAAGGGCAGCGTGCCGCAGAGCAGAGCGTACAGGATCACGCCACAGCTCCAGATGTCCACCTCTGGACCTGCATAGAGCCTGACAGACGGATGACAGGTAACAATGGTTATTTAGCATTTATACATAAAGATTTAATGAACTGTTTGAAATACACTGTGATGTACCTGAGAGCAGATGTGTCTATTGAATCTATTAACTTTATGATTATATATAAATGTCTTACAAGACAAATAACTGTAGTGCACAGTATTCTGCTCATCTACAGGTGGCGGTAATGCGCCAGGAAATGATGCAGCAACAAAGACAGTGAAGAAGACGTCAAACTAGGAAACATGGTTGTAAAACACACAAATTAAAATACTTATAAACTGGCTTTACAAATGTTTTATGAGGGAGGAAATGGATTGAAGAGGTTTTCTCAAAGCTGGTTTTGTTCTGTCAGGTTGTTTTTCTGTTCCAGACCAAAATAAATGATGGTGATTACATAAGTAAATGTGATTCGTGCTGAAACAATTATGTGATCAAAAGAAAAATAATCATTTCAGTCATTTTAACCTTTTTTTCTGATAACTGATTAATTGTTTTATAAAAATAGTAAAACAAAAAAAGAAAAAGCCAAACACTAATTACTTGCTCTAAAATGAGGATTTCCTGCTTGTTGTTGTCCAGTGGTTATAAACTGAATATTTTGGGCAGTTGGTCGAAACATTTCACGTCGCCTCATGGACGAAGCTGCGATGGGTTTTAAATCAAAAACATAATCCTCATATTATTTGATAATGAGAATAATGGACAGCTGCAGTGTGATGACCCAACAGCCCGATCACATGTGATGACACACCTTCCTGAGATGACCTCTGGAGCAGCATAGTTGGGGGAGCCACAGCTCGTCCGTAAAAACTCCCCATCTGACATCATGTTTGACAGACCTGTCGGCCAATCACAAGATACGCACGCGTTAGCACACACACACGCTACACATCGACGATCCTCTGTAATCATGTTGTTGTTATTGATCCACATGGTTTGACCTCAGCAACAGGCCACCACAGGGAGGGTAAGAGTTACACACTGTGGACGCCGCTGATATCTTCATCCTCCTTCAGCCGCCAAGACGCTAAGCTCTCAACACAAAGCTCATTTAATTGGATGAGCTTCTCCCCGCCTGCCAGGGCTTCGGCCAAACGGTAAACACCAGACGCTCTGTGATGTGCTGACCTTCTCTTTATCTTTCATCCCCGTTCCCATAACACTCCCTCTCTCTGCTCACCAGTGTCTGCTGCTCTCAGCCAAAACACTTCCCCTGCAGCACAGCCCTGCCGCACCCCAACGATTCCTTCCTATCAGATGACACTGGGCCTCAGGGCTTCCTGCCAGACTTGATATGAGACCGGGCCGTTGCTATGGGACCTTTCTCCACCCCACGCACCCTGCTGGCCACAGGGACCTTCATGTGTGTTAGAAAATATTTCTCTCTTTGGTGATTGCAACAGTCTCTTCACCAGTCAGCTACAACAACTATGCCACAATGAGTAAGAAAGCCAGAGATGAATTCATCTAACTCTGAGGTCAGCAGGTGCATGAATAATAATAACAATAAAGTGTAGAAATAAGTGTGTGATGATGCTGTTTCTCTCCGACAAACTGTCACTTGGCTCCGATCAGCTCTTCCACAAACTCAACCTCTTTCTGTTTGCTCCTCCCTCTTCAACATGTTCACTTATGTGCTGTTCTGCTTTCTGTCTTTTAATAAATTCTCTCACAATCCCTCACAACCAAGCCAAATCCTTCTGTCCCTCCCTCTGGCTGTAACTGTTTTCGTTAGGAATCCTACCAAAGTCGGCGATCTTGGCGTTCTTGCTGGCGTCCAGCAGGACGTTCTCTGGCTTGAGGTCTCTGTGGACCACCATGTGCCTGTGGCAGTAGTCCACGGCTGAGATAATCTGCTGGAAGAGACGGCGAGCTTCTGTGTCCTCCACCTGAAAGATGCAACACCAACAGACACGACTGTGCTGCAGCTTTACTGGGTATTTCTCTGATGTGAAAGCGTGACACCGAGCGTTAAAGACAAACATGCAGAACTAAGCCGATGGCATGTGTGTGAAGAACAGTGGATAATGAAATGATGTGCTGCCCTTTTAAACTGATCATGGTCGGGTTGGTCATGAGGTTTCTGTGGCTCAGGGCCCTGGTTAAGATCAAGTAGGATTATTCTAACAATAATAATAATAATAAAAGGAGCTCATCCATACATATCAGTCTGTGTGTGTGTAAATGGAACTTAGGAAATGAACTGGAAACTGGAAATGACCATTTAAAGGTCAGTAAAAATACTCATCTACAGCTGAAGCAACAACACTATCGTCAAACTAATTTCTGTGACTCATAAACTTTAACTCATATTACTTGGAGGTTTATATCAGTAGTTTAATCAGAAAAAAAAGTTTTTAATTTGATCCAAAATATGTGAAAGTGACGGGGAGAGTTTAAACACTGACAGGATTTTGATGCCTGGAGAGAATAAATGAACTCAGAGTAGAAAATGTTTAGACAATTTTCCCTAAATAAAACTATTTAACATCAAAGTAACATCAAAGAAATACAAACAGTGGCACATAACGACCTGTATATGACTGTTAGAGCAAACCACTGCATCACAACTCCATCACTGTTTCACCAGTCTGAGCTGTGGTAACACTGAGACGTCTTACCCGTCCATGTTTGCAGATGTAGTCGAACAGCTCACCTCCAGACACATACTCCATAACCATGAAGAAATCAGTGGGTGTACTGATCACCTGGTACCTGAAACACAAGTAATACATTTGTGTTGACATTAATTCACATTCTTTCACGTCCTGAAATCTAACCATGACTATACAAATATCAGTAACAGGCATTGATCTCAACTGTAAGTCTCTACACCAATTTTATTTACTTCAAAACATACACAGCATAAATACACAGAGAGGAAAGGCTGTGCTGTGATGTATGGCAGCTGAGTGTAGGCATTATTTTCATAAAAGGTCAGGTATATTAAAATACAGGCCCAATCTCATGAGTGGTTGCTCATGGGAGAATCTGCACTTCATCACAATCTAATTCATTCCTGTCAAGCCGGATGCAGCAGCACACAGCCGGCACCGAGGGAGAAATAAACACAAACCAATTCACTATTTCTTTTCTTTTTTCTCTTCTGCCTTACAAACACACAGAGAGTTTCTGGGAAAACTAAACTGTAACGACGCTTGAGAGCAACGTTTATGACATTTGGTCATATTCATTTCAAGCTGGTTTTACAAACAGGGCCAATGCATCAAACAGAGACTGTGTTTCTCAGCTCTGTATCTGTGCCTGAAGCTCTGTGATGCAGTACAAGCAGACTGTGTGTGTGTGTGTGTGTGTGTGTGTGTGTGTGTGTGCCTCAGATGTATGTATTTGTGTCTGTTTTCATGAACATATATGTCTGTCACACTGTTCCACCCTCCCTCATGACCTGAGAGCTCACATATCTGCCATAGCTTACAGTGTGACGGTGGACTAACGCTGACCCTGGCCTAAAAATAACACAGAGGGTGTTGAGAGACACACAGAGACAAGGAGACAGAAGGAAAAGAAAAAGAAGGAAGACAAGGTCAAAGAAAAAGCACAACAAAAGCCAAGACACTGGGATGAGGACAAGGATTTCACCATGCAGGAATTAAAGCAACTCCTATTATCTTAACTGGAGATTTGTAAAGAACAGAATTCTTTATCTAGTTCCAAGCCTGTGTGTGTGTGTGTGTGTGTGTGTGTGTGTGTGTATTGGTAGGTTTGTGTGTCCCTCCTGGGAGCCCAATGGGCATGCTCAGTAGAGCGCAGCTGTAGTAAACAAACAGGAAGAAGAAAAGCATGCCACAACACAGGGAGAGAACACAACACAGCAGAAGGCCCCACATTACAACGGCCACTAATTCAACAGATCTCAGTTATCTCTGTGTGCAGTCTGTCAGTACTGACAATCCTAAAGCTGATAGAAAGACGTGTCATCTCTCGCCACTTACAGCTTGATGATGTGTGGGTGTCTGAACAGTTTGAGATTCTGGATCTCTCGCTTGATCTTCCCCACGACATCGAGGCTACGGATCTTCTGTCTGTTTAGGATCTTTACAGCCACTTTATGGCCCGTCAACTGATGCTCTCCAACTGAAAAACAAAGAACACATATATGAAGCAGATACAGAACACAGATGATAAAAATGAAACACACCCAAACTGATACACAAGACGTTAGGCACAAGATATACAAGCAGGGAGACGTACTGGAGGGTTAAGATTTGATTGGAAAACGTGTTGCATTGTAGGCTTCAACATATCAGTGAATTACTTGTGTTTTTACACTGTACAACTCTGGCTTCCTCTCGCAATCCAAAGATGTTTTTATGCCTTACTATACTATGAGTTATTAAGACGTTTTATGCCTTACTACACTATGACTTTTTGTCATTTACTATACTATGACTTTTTATGCCTTATTATACTATGACTTTTTATGACATTTTATGCTTTATTATAATATGACATTATATGCCTTACTATACCATGACTTTTTATCACTTCCTATACTATGACTTTTTATCATTTACTATACTATGACTTTTTATCAATTACTATACTATGATATTTTTATGCATTACTATACTATGACTTTTTATGCCTTACTATACTATGACTTTTTTATTTCTTATTAAAGTATGCTTTTTGATGCCTTACTATACTATGACTTTTTTATCACTTTCTATTCTATGATTTTTTATGCCTTACTATACTATGTCATTTTTATGTCTCATTATACTATGACTTTTTATGCCTCACTATACTATGACAATTTTAACACTTTTTATGCCTTAATATAATATGTCGTTTTTGTGCCTTACTATACTATGTTGTTTTTATGACTTTTTATGCTTCACTATACTATGTCGTTTTCATGATTTTTTATGCCTCACTATAGTATGTCTTTTTATGCCTTACTATACTATGACAATTTTAACACTTTTTATGCCTTAATATAATATGTCGTTTTTGTGCCTTACTATACTATGTTGTTTTTATGACTTTTTATGCCTCACTATAGTATGTCATTTTTATGCCTTACTGTACTATGTCTTTTTATGACTGTTTATGCCTCATTATACTATGTCGTTTTTATGACTTTTCATGCCTTACTATACTATGACTTTTAATGCTTCACTATACTATGCCGTTTTTATGACTGTTTATGCCTCATTATACTATGTCTTTTTTTTGCCTCATTATACTATGTCGTTTTTATGATCTTAGTACACTATGTCATTTTTATGCCTTACTATACTATGACTTTTTATGTCTTACTATACTATGACGTTTTTATGACTTTTTATGCCTCATTATACTATGTCTTTTTTTTGCCTCATTATACTATGTCGTTTTTATGCCTCACTATACTATGTAGTTTTTATAACTTTTTATGCCTTACTATAGTATGTCGTTTTTATGCCTTACTGTACTCTTTTTTTTGCCTCATTATACTATGTCGTTTTTATGATCTTAGTACATTATGTAATTTTTATGCCTTACTATACTATGACTTTTTATGTCTTACTATACTATGACGTTTTTATAACTTTTTATGCCTTATTGTAAGATGTCGTTTTTATGCCTTATTATACTAGCACTTTTTATGCGTTATTACACTGTCATTTTTATGCCCTACTATACTATGACTTTTTATGCCTTACTATACTATGTTGTTTCTATAATTTTTTACGCCTTATTGTAATATGTCGTTTTTATGCCTTATTATACTAGCACTTTTTATGCGTTACTATACTATGACGTTTTTAAGACTTTTTTTTCCTTACTATAATGACTTTTTATGCCTTATTATACTATGTCGTTTTTATTACTGTTTGTGCCTTAATGTACCATGATTTTTAATCCCTTACTATACTATGACATTTTTTGACTTTTTATGCCTCAATAAAATATGTCGTTTTTATGCCTTACTGTACTGTCGTTTTTATGACTTTTTAAGGCTTACTATACTATGTTGTTTTTATGCCTTACCAAACTATGACTTTTTATGCCTAAATATACTATGTCGTTTTTATGACTTTTCGTGCCTTGCAATATTATGCCTTTTTTATGACTTTTTATGCCTTTTTATACTATGACAATTTTAACACCTTTCATGCCTTAGTACACTATGACGTTTTTAAGACTTTTTATGCCTTACAGTAATATGTCGTTTTTATGCCTCACTATACTGTCGTTTTTATGACTTTTTATGCCTTACTATACCAAGACATTTTATGCCTTACTATACTGTGTAGTTTTTATGACTTTTAATGCCTCACTATACTTTGACGACTTTTTTGTGACTTTTGATTGCATACTATACTATGACTTTTTGTACCTTACTATACTATGACGATTTTAACACTTTTTATGCCTTACTATACTATGACGATTTTAACACTTTTTATGCCTTACTATACTAGTGTATTTTTAAGCCTTACTATACTATGACGTTTTTATGCCTTACTTTACTATGTTGCTTTTATGACTTTTTATGCCTTAATATGATACGTTATTTTATTGCCATACTATACTATGACTTTTTATGCCTTACTTTACTATGTTGCTTTTATGACTTTTTATGCCTTAATATAATATGTTATTTTATTGCCATAGTATACTATGACTTTTTATGACTTTTTGGACCTTACTATACTGTGACGATTTTGACACTTTTTGTGCCTTGCTATACTATGACTTTTCATGCCTTGCTATACTATGTCGTTTTCATGACGTTTTGTGCCTCACTATTCTTTGCGGTTTTTATAACTTTTTATTCCTTACTATACTATGACTTTTTGTTTCTTACTATATTATGACATTTTTTGAATTTTTATGCCTTAATAAAATATGTCGTTTTTATGCCTTACTGTACTATGTCTTTTTATTCCTTACAATACTATGACTTTTTTATGACTTTTTATGCCTTACTATACTATGACTTTTTATGCCTTACTATACTATGTCGTTTTTATGACTTTTTATGCCTTACTATACTATGACTTTTTATGCCTTACTATACTATGCCTTTTTTGACTTTTTATGCCTTACTGTACTATGACTTTTTATGCCTTACTTTACTATGTCGTTTTCATGACTTTATATGCCTTAGTAAAGTATGACTTTTATATGACTTTTTATGCCTTACTATACTATGACTTTTTTATGACTTTTTATGCCTTACTATACTATGACTTTTTATGCCTTACTTTACTATGTCGTTTTCATGACTTTTTATGCCTTACTAAAGTATGACTTTTTTATGACTTTTTATGCTTTACTATACTATGACTTTTTATGCCTTATTATACTATGACTTTTAATGCTTTATTATAGGATGTCATTTTTATGTCTTTTTACGCCTTATTATACTATGTCGTTTTCATGACTTTTTATACCTTACTAAACTATGACTTTTTTTATGACTTTTTATGCCTTACTATACTATGACTTTTTATGTCTTACTGTACTATGTCGTTTTCATGACTTTTTATGCCTTACTAAACTATGACTTTTTATGCCTTACTATACTATGACTTTTTATGCCTTACTATACTATGACTTTTTATGCCTTATTATACTATGACTTTTTATGCTTTATTATACTATGTCATTTTTATGACTTTTTATGCCTTACTATACTATGCCTTTTTTGACTTTTTATGCCTTACTATACTATGTTGTTTTTATGACTTTTTATGCCTTACTGTACTATGACTTTTTATGCCTTACTATACTATGTCGTTTTCATGACTTTATATGCCTTACTAAAGTATGACTTTTATATGACTTTTTATGCCTTACTATACTATGACTTTTTTATGACTTTTTATGCCTTACTAAACTATGACTTTTTTATGACTTTTTATGCCTTTCTATACTATGACTTTTTATGCCTTATTATACTATGACTTTTTATGCTATACTATACTATGTTGTTTTTATGACTTTTTATGCCATACGCCTTATGTCGTTTTTATGACTTTTTATGCCTTACTATACTATGACTTTTTATGCCTTACTGTACTATGACTTTTTATGCCTTACTATACTATGTCGTTTTCATGACTTTTTATGCCTTACTAAATTATGAATTTTTTTATGACTTTTTATACCTTACTATACTATGACTTTTTATGCCTCACTAAACTATGACTTTT